TTTAGTCCCTTTTGCGTTCAAAAACCGAATAACTGCGCGAATCTCACACTTCGCGGTTTTAGTAATCGGGAGCTCCATTTCTAACGGCAACCATGCCAAGACTGAGCGTCCTAGCTACGTGCGCGCATGCTTGGTGGTATTGGGGGGAGTGGGGGAAGCAACGAATGCAACAGGGTTGCCAACAGCCACACGAAAAATTACCCAGCGCTTTGGAGACCTTACTTTTGGAATCAGCTACGTATAAATCTCGGATATGAGCTGCTGGTTACAGAAATGTAAATTTCATACGCAATTTTTTGACATTTTTATGTTCAAGGTCATTTTTTCATTTTGGGAGTAATTTTTGGGGCTTTTAAGGGTATTTCTTGTAATTTTTGGCCATTTTAGGGAATTTTTCTTCATAAGTTTTCTGAAATGTGAATAATATGGAAGCAAAGTGTTCTTTCTCTTTCACCTTTAGGTTATTTTTCTGGATTTTTTTCTGCCATTTTATAGGTCATTTTTTAAATATTTTCAGGTCATCAGAATCCGGGCCCTGCATATTACATTTTTGGGTCATATTTTAGGTCATTTTTCTGGATTATTTTGATCATTTTTTAAATATTTTCAGGTTATCAAAATCCGGGCCCTGGTTATGACACTGTGCAGTCTTGTAGGAAAATACCTATGGTCCTCTGAAATGATGGTATCTGTTTATGAGACTACATATAATTATATTTGCACTGTATTCATTTTGTGTAGTGTGTCCTTTATTACTTGTGTAGTTTTGTGTGTGGTGTGTTATTTGTGTGTTGTGTCTTATTGTAGTATCAGTGCCACCGGGTTAAAACCCATTTGCAGTTTAAATAAACAGTAACAAAAATAATATTGATGTCACAACCAAGATGACCACAATCTGACAATACTAATCCTTTCTGCTTTTGTTTGTTGTATCATGGGTACTGAACTCAGCACAAATGCTGCACTGGCCACCAATTCAAAATTATAAGAAACTTACTGGTTCAAAGGGGCACACATAATGCATGTGGTAAGAATCATAGAACTAACATGTTCGGATATCTCAATACTGCACAAATTACTGTTCTCAATAGAAGGTGTAACATTCTAGATGGATGAATATGAAATAACATAAGGAAAGGAGCTTCTGGGTAAAAATTCAGTGTCTGAAAATGCATTAAGAATGTTAATTCAACATGCAGAAATTATGTATCCACAAAAATAAATGTGTTTTAAGAGCACAGTATAACATTTTATTAGCATGTATAGTACAATTTACTATGATGACTCGGAAACTTCGAGACAAGTAACTGTGCAAAGAAAATAAACATTCTGGCCACCATACTGAACCTACAGCTGTGAATGTTGCTTTCTGATCCTGCTCACTCTTGCAATTTGTAGGTGCACCATGATTTAAAGATCTATACATACCTCAGCAGTATAAGTCACCTTCACAGAAGGTGTATCTTGACATGGGAACATGGCACGACAATGGACTGCCTAGAAATAAAATTACTGCAATTACAACAGACATAATAACTCAAAGCATTGCATTTGTCATCTTCACTGTACCAGTTTTACCAATACTTATATTCCAAAAAAAAAAACAGAATAACTAGCATAATTAACTACAGCAATTAAATATTTTGAATAAAGAATAATGTGTACTTGTACTTGTACTGCTCAGTTTTATAACAAGACTCAGGAAATCCCTACTTATTTCCCTATGTCCTTGTCGTTCAGTTGTTCAGTTCTCAAAGCCACTGGATCCCAGGTGGCTGTGGCTACAGCTGCAACAGCTTGTACCTGTTTGATGTCTGCCTGTACCTCTACTTTGTGACAGTGGGTACACTCCTCCTGGCATGGTCATCAGAAAAGGGCATTGGCATTGTTGTATTTTCAGCCCTCACAGTGCTTGGAAGTGAAGCTGTACTCTTCCAGGCGCTAAATCCAGCTTGCGGTTTCACTTTCGAGGTTCTTAAAAATCACAAGGCAAGTTAATGCAGAGTGGTCAGTGCAAAGGTGGAACTCTTGTCGGTACAAGGTAAAAAAGGTAAAGTTGTCCGTGTGCTTAACTATTTAAGCACTACACCATGAATGCATACGGGAGAGTGGATGTATAGATCCACATTTTCTTGAATGAGTGGTCAACTTCATGCCCCTGCTGATTTACCCCCGGAGAAAGAGCTCCCGGTACTCATTGGATAGGAGGTTTGGTGAACCCCAGAGCTGGTCGGGACATGGAGAAAATTCTTGACTCTACCAGGACTCGAACTCTCACCCCTCGGTCATCCAGCCCATAGGAACTCTTGTCCATCGAGGTACTTCCCATCAGGTGATGCAGTAATTTCTCTCAGTCCTGTTCACCATCTTACTGCAGTAGGCTATTATCACTCCTGTCTGTCCTGTACTTGGAGATGACGCCTCCAAATCGGATTTTACTTGCGTCTGTGTCAACAATGAACCTCTCTCTTGGCAACAGGTAAGCAAGAATAGGGGCAGTGCAAAGGGTCTCCTATAGTGTTTGGAAGGCAGCCTCCACTTCTAGAGACCACTGGAAAGCCTGCTTCTCCTCGAGTTCAATCAGTGGTTTCACAATCTTGGTGAAACCAGAAATTAACTGTACGTAATATGTGCACAGACCTAGGAAGCTTCTAATTTTGTGTTATTCTTCAGGGTCTGCCATTACTATACAGCTTTCAGCTTCTCGGGGTCAGTGATAATCCCTAGGGTGACAATATACCTGATGTACTTCCTTCTAAGAGCTTGCACTTTTCCAGACTTAGCTTTAGGCAGGCTTCTTGGAACCTCTAGAACACTTTCCGCATGCAGTCAATCAGTATCACATCATCCATGCACACAAGACATTAGTCGTAAGTGAGGACTCTTAAGGTCTTATCTCCATTATCCTCTCAAATGCCACTGGAGCAGTGCAGAGGCTAAATGGCATGACTGTGAACTGCAATAGCCCTTGACCTGTCAAGAATGCAGTCTTCTGCTTGTCGCCCAGGTGTAGATCCATTCACCAATAACTGCTCTTCTGGTCGAGAGTGGAGAACCATTTGGCTCCAGCCAGTGTTTCCAGAGTGTTGTCAATCTGAGGCAGTGAGAAACAGTCCTTTGTGACACTGTTTAATTTCCAGCAGTCTGTGCAGAAGCACAGGTCCCTGTTCTTCTAGATGAGAATGACAGGGGTGACCAGGAGATGCCTGATTCTTCGATAACCCGTCGTTGCATGTCCTCAAGCATTTCACCCATGTCTGCCTGTTTTGCTGGGGGTGGGGGCATTTTATGAACGAAAGTCCAGCACCCATATGAAAACTGTCCCTCGATTTAGTATCATATTTATCTGACTGGAAGACTAGGTTTTTTCCTCTATTTTGTGTTAAATAATGAAAGGCTTCTTCAATTTGGGTGCAATAATCATACTGACTGTTTTTAAACACTTTAAGCTTTTAATGGGTTGATATTTGCAGCATTCAATAAATGCAAACATTCATGCCATATCATGCTGTCAGCACCACAAGTGAGAGGGCAACTGTTTCACTGTCAGGAGGCACGAGCTACAGCAAGTTTACCTGAAGAACCACCGAAGTTACTACATATAAAGCTGTAATTCACCACAAAGATCACTTTTTTCTCTAATGTAAAAACTGAAATTGTATATGTTTTTGTATTTATGTGACATACACCATAACCATCATTCTTACCAACTCCCGATCCAGGGAATGTAATGTAACAGATGCAACATACAAGTGCACAGTGTCTTCTGCTCATCCAACGTAGCTCCATCGATAATTCTGATCCTCATGGTTTATTTTTTGTGTTGAAATTTTGCAAGTTCCATTTAATTTTATAAGTATTGTACATATTAGAGATCTATTGTTTAGATTACAATATAGCCACAAAATGTAAGAAGTTGGCTTTAAGCAGCAATTGCTATGCAATTAGGTACAATCATACAGAATTTTCTGTTGGTTTTAAACTTATGTAACATAGTGCAGCACGTAAATTTGTTGCTAGGCAATGACTGTGAAACAAACAAGACAGCCATTGATAGGCAGCCAATAGACTAGCTGAGTATCAATCACATGGGAATCTCAACAGACATGAATGCAACAAGGGTAGAGCAACAGAGAAATGGTGTTTTCTACTCAGTCTGTGCAAAGTGGTTAGAAGGAGGATATTGAAGCAAGAATAGTGAGTTGGAAGGAAGCCGCGATTAAGAGAAGACTGGCAGTGGCAGAGGAATAACCCCTGTTAGAAGCTGCTACCAGGGAAGGTCTAGTAACAGACTGAGAACACCAAGACTGTGTGCCCTAGAGAACAATAAAGTATGGAGATCAGCGATGGTGCTGTAATTACTTGTAGTTCTGAGTCATGCTGTAAAGTGGTCAATAAATCCAATATCCAATTAAAAAATAAACACAGAGAGTCACTCAAATATGTGGCAATACATTTGCTCATGTTTTGTTATATATAAGAAAATTTGTAATTAACAATGGAATGTCATTTTCTGATTGAATTCTACATACCACCCATTTAAGACTTCTCTCAATATAAGGTACGGAAATCTCGTCTCCAATGCAAACTTTACAAGGATTTCACTGTACATACAGCGAAGTTCACACAGGTACGAAAAATGTGCTTACATTACATTCTACAAACATTGGTACTTTACTATTTTGTCCACCTCAATTCAGAAATTAAAATATTTCATTGTGATTGAAGTATGTTTCCTTCTTATACCACACATCAAATGAAAGATGTGAATGTAATTATGATCAGCAAATTTAGATGAGTGGAAAGCCCACATCTGGGACTTAAATTCGAACTAATGTTCATACAAAACAACAAAAACAAACTCCACGGTTTTGGTCTGCAAGTGAACTATACTAACCGAGTAACCACCGCTTGTCGGCGAAGTTAGTGATTATGACATGAACCTCAGGATTACTGGCAGTAACAAGAATCAAAAGGGCCACACCATAGCTCAAGCAGTTAGTCACTGGCTTCCAACTGCAGTGGCCCGGGTTCAATCCCGGGTCTGGTCAAGTGGGATTTCTGGTAGACAATCTGGTTGGGGCAGGTTTTCTCCAAGTACTTCGGTTTCCCCTGCCTATCTTCATTCCACCAATTGCTCCACAATCACCCTCACCTATCATCTGGGGCTGGTACAATAGGCCAGAAGTGGCCACCGTACAAGGGACTTAGTCCCACCCCACTAGCAATAAAAAAAAAAAGAATCAAACCAAAGCAGTGGTAACAACTGTACAGTCAACTCTCNTCTAAGAACTCACATAATCCATGTGTAAATATCAATGTGTACAGCCCAACAATATCCTCTAGACATTACATTATATTGCTAGAACTTGGCTGCAATCTTTCCAGCACAAGTAACAAGTTTATGGCTAACATAAATTTTCTGGTTATGATATGGTTATTCACCTGACACTGACTGAAGAGATAGGGATGTTTACAACCAGCAGTTTGCTCAGGCGGTAGCCACTGCAAGGCACTAGAATTGACATCCGTCTCATACAAGATACTGAGCATAAGCCTGGAACAAGGGAAATGGTATCATTGAAGTTTACCTATAGCTATTCACCTCACAATGGCTGAACATGTATGGATGCCTGACTAACCATCTGCTCTGGATCTGACACTGTATTGCAGTGGAATTTGGGGATGCCTTGAAACTGACACTGAGCTATATCCTGGAGGAAATTCCTCATTCTCTATGTAAAATTCACATTCATTCAAAGACATCACCTGCAATGAAACAGTACCAAGAATGCTACAAATACATTCTTGCCTCTCACAGTACAGCACAAGATATCTGAAACACATCCAATCATGTACCTGATGTTGCTTTGTTAATGTTTATTATGAGAATAACAAACCTTGGTATTTGGAATTAATTATATGAGGCATGCCCAAATGCAACTCATTCAGGGATGGTTCTTGATGAAGGAATAGTTGCTGTTACTAATGGTCCCCACGGGCACTGAGCCAAGGATTTCACTACTGCATCGACCAATGAATCTCCTCTTTGAAAAATTCCTTCAGCTGCTGCTTGAACCACTTACCATCCTCATCCAACTGGAATCTATGGCCCTTTAGTGCTTTCTTGGGTGATGAAACACATGGATGTCACATGCTGACAAGTCTGGGATGCATGGTAAAGGATCCAACACCATTCAGTACATAACGTATAGTGCAGTGTCCTGGAGAGCATGAGCCACACGAAGACACGTGTCATGTGTCATGCAACATAATGACACCATCCGTGAGCAAGCAAGGATGCACTGCTTTGATGGTGGGATGAGCAGCTCAGAGAGTTCCACACTCGCAACTGTGTTGATTGTGACCTCAGGATCACTGAGCACCTAAGCCCGGATATCAGCTGGATAAAGACGTAATGGCCAGTGAAGTGGTTCCAGCAGTAATCCATGGAGTTCTCTGCATACAGGACTCAATGACTGATGTGTCATTGGAATGTCTACATCCATATGCAAAGGGATTATTTTTAATGGACTCTACCCCTCCAACCAGAACAATCCCCAAACAGATTTCATTTCAAACCTCATATTTATTATTTTGATTTTTTAATGGGTCTGTTGAGATGGAATTTATTTCTTTTCTTGTTGTTTCGGTTTCTATAACTCTGAGACTATGGTTCCCTATTTTTTAAAACAACAAAACCTGCTATGTATTGCACGTAGGTCATTTCACATTTTTCAGACCTCCTACATGCCAGCAGCTTGTTGACTGTTATCAGAGCTCCCATGCGGTGGTACCTGGAATGTGTTGCTACACAGATTATCAGCACCACTGTTCAACCATTCTTGTCTTTCCTGTCATCAGCAAAAGGCCCTGCGAAAAAGATCTTGAACTTGCTTCTGTTATTTAAAGTGATATTGGACTGTAATTATCCTCGTGCTATATTTCTGTTTATGATAGGTAAAATGGCTTCAAAGAGGGAAAAGGAAGGTTGAATTAGCTGTTGGATTGCAAACAGTCTCAAACTTCAGAAACACGTTTCTTATATCCAGAGCATCCTCACCAAAATCACATCCAGATTCATTATGTGAAGAATCTGCCTCTGCAAGTCAAATATAAACAATCTCAAAATATACACATCAAATCTAATTTGAAATGGAATGTGGGAATGTAGAAAAAGCAGATACTATGACAATAAAACTGATTATTACATTTATATAGTTCTTATCGCATTATCTACCTCATATGTTATGGTGTTAATTGAAAAATTGTAAAGGTACATTTTATTTTCTGATACACCAAAAAATTCCATCCTTATGTGATCAATACGTAAGTTGAATGATCATGTACTTCTAATATCCTCATTCAAATTGTATATGGAACTATAGATTAAATTACCAGGCATTGAAAAGTGACTTGTAAATTTTATATTTACATTATATTTTTTATTACAAATTTATAATGAATCATACTTGTTTATATCATATACTGTTTCTGTTATACTGGACTATTGTCTTTATCCTGGGTCCTCTGACCTTGTAATGGATTTGTGGCATGTAAATAAATGAAATGAAACAGTCCAATCTCTGGTAATAATAATGGACACTGATTATAAGCACAATGTGCAAACACTAGAAAATCATAAGCATATTACATTAATGATATATCTGCTTAAAAAACTATGCTTCAGCCATGCTGTGAACTGGCTATCTTATATTAAAATTAACTGAATAGTCAAGACAAACTATAGTACCCTGCTTACCTCATTTCTGTTGTACTTGGTAATTTAATCTCCAATTTGGATCCAAGGGTACTTATGTTCTCACCCACAGAGAATTCCAGAACTTGGCCTGAGCCATGGCCAGTTACTTTGATTATATTCAAATCTTTAGAATCAAGGAGCTGAAATAATACACATGAAATATATTTATTTATATTTTTGTGTGTACAAGCATCCATAAAAAATAAGAATACCACGACTGAAATCAATATCAGCATAATATATTCAAGGGTTCCAAAGGCTTGTATCTCACACATTCTAATTAAGAGAGAACACAATTCATATACAAAAATCATATAAGTAACTCAGTCTGCAAAAAACAGCCAAGAGAAGACTATCATTTCATAATATCTATACTTTATAATTTACTGTATAAATAACAATATTTGATACAAAGAAAATAACTGAAAGCCAAAAGCGAGCTCCAAAGTTTTACAGTGAGAAAATTTACAAACATGAGCATTAATACCATGGAATATCAGATAGTAATTCATTATACATGCAGACAATTCTATCACTACCTTTACACTGTAGCAGTAACTCAGCATAAATTATTACATTGGGAAGGGGGAGTTGCATGCATGTGTGCGCACACAGGCAGGCTGTTCAAACAAAACCCACTCGCAGCACTGCTAGTAAATATGGCCAGCGGCGTGTTATCATGTCACTACTTTCATGACAACACACCCATTGTTGACAGAACAGTAAAATTAGAGCAAACCGAAACATCAACACATATAAATGCAGGAATTCCAGGTGCAGAATCCATTCAAACAGGACCAAAGATTACAACGCACGCAGCCAAAAAAAGAACACATTACAAGACACAGTATACACAAAATATAGTAAGAACGATTCCCATAGTGGAAGAATGATATAATACGCGAGTTTGAATTAAGACATATAAGATGATAAATCTTAACAAATTTTAATATATATAAATTTTATTACAGTAAATGAAGAATATACATTTTAAATAATTTTATAAACGACATATGATGGCGAGCAGTGCAATAGTTTAACATAAATAACACACCTGAGGATGGCACAGTGATGCCAAAACATGTAGTAAAGTGACATGTGAGACTGAGTTCACTAGAAGACAACCAATACATACATATCATGGACGACAATCAGTGCAACAGGATGCTAAAATACAACATTAGGACCAAAGAGCTGTCACTTGAGTTCCTTGGTGCCAAGAGTGTGTAGCATTCAGGCACCTTGACATCACTGTCCATGCACTACATGACCAAGGAACGCTCCTGCATCCACACTGCCATTAAGAGAAATGGCATGTTCAAGTGGGGTGTCTCTGCGCTGCAAAGACACCTTCTCTATGTAGCATGCAATGTCCTGGACATGCTGCACTCCAAATACTAGAAGGTGCTGGACTAGCCCCCACACAGCCTGGATCTGTCACCACTGTGATTTCAGGTCAGACAAAGATGTACAGACTGATGGTGCAGTGGTTCCAGAAGCAGCCCACAGACTTGTTTGTGAAGGGGATCCATCAGTTACGGTGTCAATGGGATGACTGCCTCAGAGCCGATAGGGGTTACGTTAAATAACACAGGCCAACAGTTGTTTTGGTGCCGGGGTATTTGGAGCTGATTTCATATGAATTTGATGCCCTGAATTCAAATATGGCATTAGTTTTTGCCTAGGAGCTCAAATTTTTAAGATATAACATTTTGGTGAAATATACGTTACACTATTTTAAGTTAAATCAGTGGATCAAATAAAAAAACTCAACATGGAATTTTTATTACTATATTATAATTATATTTTTATTTTATTATATTAAATACAAAGATAGAGGAAAAAATCATCGACTATATATAACAGTCAAACCAACTATAGTCACGGAACACTACGGAAGCTTCTTTTTCGTGAATTTCTTGAATGTATTTTAGAACAGTCCCTTTTTAAACTCCAGCAGTAATCTGCCATCATGTGTGTATCCCATCTTCCTTGGTAGCGGTC